GTAAGACAGGGAAACAGCCCAAAGGGAAACGCACAGAAACCCAAGGGAAAAGGAAAAAAGCCTGTGCACAATATGCCTCGTATCTGCTGGGATGGGAAACTGGAAAAAAAGTGGGACGGCAACTTGACACCCTAGGAAATGCCTGCCCATATGACAAAAGGAAATGCAAATCCCTTCCGGGAAGCTTTTTCACCCGAACGTGACCTTTCAACAGGAAAGACTGTGCTAACTTAAATTGCCAGGGGAAACCATCTAAAGGGGCAAAAAGATACAAAAAAATCCAGGCCCGGGGAAACCGGGTGCCACAGCCCCTCAAGAGGGAGAGGGTTTTTTTTGCCAGGGGGAAAAAAAAAGGCGGAAAAGGGAGAATGAACCAAAAACCTCATTCCCGGAGGAACCCCAGTCGATGGCCCCCACTCCAAACCACAATCAGTACTAATGCCGGAAAAAAAATCCCCCCCCCGTACCAAAAATACCCCCATCCATAACATTTTTCTTTGCAAATATACAGGGGCTAAAGCCAGCAACAAACAACAAAAACCCCCTTTATCCTGGGCGCTTGCGAGGGGAAAGGGGAAAGTTCCGGGTTTCACTGAGACCCCATAAAGGGTCACTTAGACCGAAATATGGATCCCAGGTTACAACTATACAGAGGACAGAGTAAAAGCAAAAGGGGGGGGGTTTGGGCCGTCTTGCAGAGTCACTTTTTTGCACAGAACTGCTAAAACCCCAAAAGATGTGTGGAAGTTTTTTTGCAGTAAAGGTCGAGAACCCAAAACAGTCATTGTGATACTCAAACCTCCGGGTCAAAAAATCCCCCAATTCCAGGAACCTGTTTAAAAAATTTACCACTGTCTGGAAAAACCCTTTCCCGCTCCGCACCCCAAAATCTTGCCCTGGGGGGTTTCAATTAAAGGGACCTAAAATGGGGAATATACAAATAATATTTTTTGCAGAATAACACCCGGGGCAGCCTGATGAAAACTCACACCAGCAGCTTTTAAAACTCTGCACAAAAATTTAATTTAAACCACAAAAAATAAGCCTACTAGACTGAGAAAACACAGACCTATCTTCACTAACAAAAATGATTGATAAAAATAACCAAACAAAAAAAATATACTCAGATCACAAAATAATTGAGGTTTAGTCATGTATGCGCGGAGCCCCAGACCGACATAATGAGATTAGTCACGGGGGAGCATTCACCAAATTCAACTTCAATAACAAAAACATAAAGTGGGACCAAGTAAACCAAGTCCTAACCGATATAAGCTGGGAAGATATACTAAGCAACACAGACCCCAACTTATGCCTAGAACAGATTAACTCGGTAGCACTCGATGTATGCACAAGGCTTATTCCTCTAAGAAAAAGGAGGAGTAGATGTAAAAACAGAAAGAGACAGGCGCTCCCTTTACAGGCGACGGAAAAGAATAACAGAGCGGCTAAAAGAGGTCAATATATCTGAAATGCGTAGGGAGACACTGGTCAGAGAAATAGCAAGCATCGAACTTAAGCTAAAGAATCCTTTAGGAGTCAGGAATCGCGGAAGAACTAAAAGCCATAAATGAAATCGAAAGAAACCCAAAGTATTTCTTCTCCTATGCCAAATCAAAATCGAGAACAACGTCCAGTATTGGGCCCCTACTTAAACAAGATGGGTCCTACACAGATGACAACAAGGAAATGAGTGAGCTACTCAAGTCCCATATGACTCAGTTTTTAGCAAGCCGCTAACCAGACTGAGAGTCGAAGATCAAAAATGAATTTTTTATGAGAGAGCCACAAAATTTTATTAACACAACCTATCCGATGTTATCCTGACGCCAAATGACTTCGAACAGGCGATAAATGACATGCCCATGCACTCTGCCCCAGGCCAGACTCATGGAACTCGGTGTTCATTCAAGAACTGCAAGAAGCCCCTATCACGAGCCTTTCCATCCTATGGAGAGGGAGCATGGACACGGGGGTCGTCCCACAGTTACTAAAAACAACAGACATTTGCCCCACTCCACAAAGGGGCAGTAAAGCAACAGCAAAGAACTACAGACCAATAGCACTAACATCCCATATCATAAAAATCTTTGAAAGGGTCCTAAGAAGCAAGATCACACGCATCTAGAAAACCCATTTAGTTACACAAGCCAGGGCAACATGGTTTAGAACAGGTCGCTCCTGTCTGTCTCAACTATTGGACCACTACGACAAGGTCCTAAATGCACTAGAAGACAAAAAGAATGCAGATGTAATATATACAGACTTTGCAAAGCCTTCGACAAGTGTGACCATGGCGTAATAGCGCACAAAATTTCGTGCTAAAGGAATAACAGGAAAAGTCGGGCGATGGATCTATAATTTCCTCACTAACAGAACACAGAGAGTAGTCGTCAAAAGAGTAAAGTCCGAGGCAGCTACGGTGAAAAGCTCTGTTCCACAAGGCACAGTACTCGCTCCCATCTTGTTCCTCATCCTTATATCCGACATAGACAAGGATGTCAGCCACAGCACCGTGTCTTCCTTTGCAGATGACACCCGAATCTGCATGACAGTGTCTTCCATTGCAGACACGCAAAGCTCCGGGCAGACATCAACCAAATCTTTCAGTGGGCTGCAGAAAACAATATGAAGTTCAACGATGAAAATTTCAATTACTCAGATATGGTAAACATGAGGAAATTAAATCTTCATCAGAGTACAAAACAAATTCTGGCCACAAAATAGAGCGAAACACCAACGTCAAAGACCTGGGAGTGATCATGTCGGAGGATCTCACCTTCAAGGACCATAACATTGTATCAATCGCATCTGCTTAGAAAAAATGACAGGATGGATAATGAGAACCTTCAAAACTAGGGAGGCCAAGCCCATGATGACACTCTTCAGGTCACTTGTTCTATCTAGGCTGGAATATTGCTGCACACTAACAGCACCTTTCAAGGCAGGTGAAATTGCCGACCTAGAAAATGTACAGGAGAACTTTCACGGCGCGCATAACGGAGATAAAACACCTCAATTATTGGGAGCGCTTGAGGTTCCTAAACCTGTATTCCCTGGAACGCAGGAGGAGAGAGATACATGATTATATACACCTGGAAAATCCTAGAGGGACTAGTACCGAACTTGCACACGAAAATCACCCACTACGAAAGCAAAAGACTTGCAGACGATGCACCATCCCCCCAATGAAAGCAGGGTGTCACTAGCACGTTAAGAGACCATACAATAAGTGTCAGGGCCCGAGACTGTTCAACTGCCTCCCAGCACACATAAGGGGGGTACCAACAGACCCCTGGCAGTCTTCAAGCTGGCACTGGACAAGCCACCTAAAGTCAGTTCCGGATCAGCCCGGGGTGTGGCTCGTATGTTGGTTTGCGTGCAGCCAGCAGCAACAGCCTGGTTGATCAGGCTCTGATCCACCAGGAGGCCTGGTCCCCAGACCGGGCCGCGGGGGGCGTTGACCCCGAAAATCTCTCCAGGTAACTCCAGGAAACCACACACACATATATATATATATATATATTTATATATATAAATTTTATATATATATATATATATATAATATATATCTTCTTCTTCTTTCAACGTACCAGCCGTATCCCACCCGAGGTGGGGGGCCCAAAAGAAAAAACTGAAGTTTCTCCTTTTAAATTTAGTAATATATACAGGAGAAGGGGTTCTAGCCCTTGCTCCCGGCATTTTAGTCGCTCTTACGCACGCATGGCTTACAGAGGAAAATTCGTTCCACTTCCCCATGGAGAAAGGGGGAAATAAACAAGACAAGAATTAGAAAGAAAATAGAAAAAAACCCCGAGGGTGTGTTATATGCTTGTACGTTGTGAGGTGACCTAATTGAAAAGTAGAAGTACAAGACTTACCGTAATCTTGCAATTTAGAGACAGAACAAAAGAACACCACAATCCTACCACATTTTTAAACGATTACAGGCTTTCGTTTTACACCACTTGGCAGGAGGGTATACCTCCCTGGGCGGTTCGTCTACCAACCACAAACCTAATATATATATTTAAATTTATATATTATATATAATAATATGTGTGTGTGTCGTGCCGATTTTAAACGGGTCAATTAGAAAGACTCATTAAATTAAGTCCTTCTAAAAATTCTCTATCGTTTAATGATATATTTTTTCATAATTGGGGGTAAAAATTTATAATTTGCACCAAAAAGAAACTTAAAAAACTACCAAAACCTTATTATAACAAGACAATGATTTTAGCCTAACCCACTAAAATATTTTAATTGTTTACAATAATTCTATCTAAACAAACACATGAAATAATTTTTTTCGTTAGGTTCGAATGATTTTGCAAAATATTGCAAAACACAAATTTTTGCTTGTCCTATTTGGCAAATACGTTGCTATTAAGATAAATGGAAGTTCTGCCTTTTCGGCACGACGTATAATATATTATAATATATATAATATATAATATTTTATATATATATAATTTTAATATATATTTATATATATATATTATAATATAATTTATAATTATTATATATTATAAATATAAATATATATTATAATAATATAAAAATATATTTATAAAATTATATAAGTTTTATATTAAATATATATATAAATATAAAATAATATATATATATATATATATATTTATATATATATTTATATAAAATATATATATATATATTTATATTTTATATATATATATAATATTATATATAATATAAATATATATATAATATATATATATATATATATATATATATATTAAAATATATATATATATATATATAATTATATTTTATAATAAAAATGTTTATCAATGATTTGTTATATGAACAATATGTAATTATTTCCAGTTACAATGACCATATGTCAAGGATGTGTAACTTATGACTGAATTAAAGAGGCATTAACGATCACTAGAGAAGCTTCAAGCATTATTTTGCTAAATTACTTAAAATTACTGATTATGGGCATTCAGAGAGGTAAGATGATAATGAAAAGATTATAACTAATACAAAATTTATTTAAAAAATAAAGTATATTCTCAATATCAGCATTTCCTAAATATAAATTATGTACTGTACAATACTGAAGTCTCATTAGCAACCATAACATACAAATATGCATAAAAAATTCAAGGAAATATAAAGCTTACGTTAGAAAATCTCTTTGAAAGCAAAAGTTAGTTAGTTAGAGTTAGTCAATGACCTCTTTTGCTCTAGTCTCTCAGCGATAGCAGCAGCCAGAGCAGCGCCTTTTCCTGACCCATCGTGTGCCAGCCGAAGATCAAACTGTTTGAAAAGTATTTTGTTACATTTTATATACAAAGACTTAACATATTTATGCCCCACCTTTGTATTAATAAATGCCATGTAAACAGCATCTACACAATATCTTTTCATTTATTCTTTCCTTTTAAAACTCTGAATGTAATGTATAGTGCAATATCAATTGTTGTAGCTACAGTCACATCAGTGCAGACATAAAACTGTACAGAAATATACTCTCTTTTTAAAGCAAACTTTCCCTTAAATGTGGTGAAGTCTTTGTAACAGGGTTTGATAATATACAAACCAAATTTCCCCCTTTATATTATAGTATTAATTAAAGAATATTATTGGAGTGAATTCCTTTGTGGCCTGCATAAAATGAGCATAATCCAACAATTCTTGATTCAGGACATTCCTGCTACTCATTCTTAGATTAAATGATTATTATTATTCTGCTCAATTCTCAGCATTCCACTGATTGCCAACTTATGTTAGCACCAGTGAAATGCTGGATAATACAGGTTCCAATGTATTTAACCCTTTGACTGTCGAGGTCGTATATATACTATATGTCTTACGAGGTACCGTGTTTGACGCATATATACTCATAAATTCTAGCGGCTTCAAATCAAGGAGGAGAAAGCTGGTAGGCCCACATGTGAGAGAATGGGTCTGTGTGGTCAGTGTGCACCATATAAAAAAATCCTGGAGCATGCAGTGCATAATGAGAAAAAAACTCCGACCATTTTTTAATTAAAATGCCGAGTTTGTGGTCTATTTTCGTATAGTATTTATGGTTGTATTCTCGTTTTTTGGTCTCATTTGATAGAATGGAAAACATATTATAGAAATAGAGGTGACTTTGATTGATTTTACTATAAAAAGAACCTGGAAATGGTGCTCAAAGTAGGGTTAATGTTTGATTTTTGCCGATGTTTAAAAGTAAACAAATGATGTCATTGTCCAATAAATGTCCAACTAGCCATTCTAATATGCAGTCATGAATGGGTTGATGTTATTTATATAATTATTACAGTATTGCAGTAGTCTGCATAACAGTAAATCTTCTATTTTTTGTTTGAATAAAAATTCAAAATAGAAAGCAAGAGTAATATCAGAGGGGCCTGGAGACATGACTGATGAACAAAGAAAATGTTATTTCAGAGCCAGGAATGTCTGCATTGTTCATTCTAGACCTTATTTTGAAATTGTCATATTTTTTAATTTTCATGAAATTGGCCAAATTGCAAATTTCTGACCACATTATTGGGTAGTTGAAATCGGTAAATGGGCATTTTCTTGTACTCAATCGATAGAAAAAATGGAGTTCTAAAGAAATAGCTATGAGTTTGGTCGACTGGAACAATGGAATTAGCCGAAAATAGGGCTCAAAGTGGGTGAAATCGCCGATTTGTAAATATCGCAGAGGTCGCTAACTTCGCGAGAGCGTAATTCCGTCAGTTTTCCGTCAAATTTCATGTTTTTGGTGTCATTACAATTGGGAAAAGATTCTCTAACATTTCATAAGAAAAAATAACTTCTTTTTTTTTTTTCTTTTTTTTTGAAATTTTGCGACACCAGGAGGCACTTCAGGATTGGGAGTTGCGACAGTCAAGGGGTTAAATTAACTTACCGATCTGCCAGGGGCAAACTCGGAAATGAGCTTCTCCATAAGTGGACGGAATCTTGGGTGGTGTTTGAACAAAGACCCATCAATAGCTACAGTGCAGTGGTTACGCTGCATTCTCTCGAGCAGTATACCAGTTACTGTGTGGAATATAATATAATTACTTCCTATCAATTTGGCCATTTGTACAAAAACAAAAATTTCATCCTAGTATAATATCAGGAAATACCATATACAATATTATAAAGTACCATTATATTACAGGTATACAATACTGACAAGCAGATGAGTAGGAGACACATGCAGCAGTTTGTTATCTTTACTGCCTGCTGAGCAGGAAATAATGATACAAACTGCTGCATAGAATAGAATGAGGATAAGTTTCAGCAAATACTATATAAATATACTGTATGGTAGAAAGACCCTATGTGAAGAGAAAGCCTTCACCTCTATGCTACTTTTTGCCCTAAAGTCAATCACCTTGATAAAACAATGTTTATGGAGAGTATGGTCTGCAGTGTTTTTCTACCGTACAGTACATATTATGACACTACGTTGATGATTGTTCCATTCCAAAATGACGCTAGTGAAGGGTTCTTCATCCAAGAAACTAAAGCTGCCATTCCCTTCCTTGGATATATCCTAATTATTTCCCATTATCCTGGTGCTGTATGACCCCTATGGTTCAGTGCTTGCCCATGGATATACTACTAACATTGATTCCACAATCTGTACATCAATTTCAATTATCAATATTCCTAACAGGCATATGTAGAAACCATATAAGAGCATTATTTTCAGAATACACTATACTTCTACTGTCTAGTACTTTATCTTAATACTACTGTATATTTTAGCTTAATGCAACAAAGAAGATTTTAGTTGAATTATTAACTCAAGAGAGTTAGTGAACCAGGATAACCCGATAAAGGCAGTCAGTCTGACTTACTGGGGTCTTCTTTTCCTTTTCCCCAGGATGTGACTCACAGCAGTTGGCTAACATCCAGATATTCATTTACTGCTAGGTGAAGCAAGACAATAGGCATAATGAAACATGCTCATTTCCACTTGTGCTGGGATTGACCTCAGATATTTCATATGCAAGCTGAAGGTGCTACAGATTACAGTGAACATGATATATAATGAATCTCAATTTAACAGACTCCTGAAATAACAGGCAAAATCCACTGAGCAAATCTTATATTATTTACTCATTTATTTTCAGTATTTACTGTGGGTTATCTGTAACTGTGTGTACAGTACTACACTAGATGTAGAGTACTTATGTGATTTTTAACACATTCTGATATATGAGAAAATTGAATATTCCCCCTATTTAGTCTATTATATTGAAGGATTACTGTATGCATATTCTACAGATGCTACAGTATACAGTGGCCTGGTGGCTAAAGCTCCCTCTTCGCACACGGAGGGCCCAGGTTTGATTCCCGGTGGGTGGAAACATTCCGACACGTTTTCTTACACCTGTCCTGTTCACCTAGCAGCAAATAGGTACCTGGGTGTTAGTCGACTGGTGTGGGTCGCATCCTGGGGGACAAGATTGAGGGCCCCAATACCTGGAGTTTACCTGGAGAGTTCCAGGGGTCAATGCCCCCACGGCCCAGTCTGTGACCAGGCCTCCTGGTGTATCAGAGCCTGACTAACCAGGCTGTTACTGCTGGCTGCACGCAATCCAACGTACGAGCCACAGCCCGGCTGGTCGGTACCTCGATGACGCACTGACTTTCTTAGGTTATCCTGGGTAGCTAACCCTCCGGGGTTAAAAATCCGAAAGAAATCTTATCTTATCTCTTATCTTATCTTTTATCTTAATACAAAAAGTCAATATTGTAAATAAACTCCATCTATACTTACTTGTTTTGATTTATAATTTTTAGTGAATCCCAGCAGGGTGCTAGTTTAGCCCCATAAACCTAATGTACCAAAGGCAGTGCCAGCACTGAATTAAGGCAATGCTGAAGGCTATTTATGTATTATTATTATTATTATTATTATTATAATACTTACAGATAAGAAAGGGATAAACACTCTGGGGTCATACAATGCCTGGGGAATGGGAGGTAATCAGGTTTCATCCAAGGAAGGGAAGGGTAGCTCAAATTCCTTAGATGAAGAGCCCTTCACAACCATACCTGGAGTTTACCTGGAGAGAGTTTCGGGGGTCAACGCCCCCGCGGCCCGGTCTGTGACCAGGCCTCCTGGTGGATCAGCGCCTGATCAACCAGGCTGTTGCTGCTGGCTGCACGCAAACCAACGTACGAGCCACAGCCCGGCTGATCAGGAACTGACTTTAGGTGCTTGTCCAGTGCCAGCTTGAAGACTGCCAGGGGTCTGTTGGTAATCCCCCTTATGTGTGCTGGGAGGCAGTTGAACAGTCTTGGGCCCCTGACACTTATTGTATGGTCTCTTAACGTGCTAGTGACACCCCTGCTTTCATTGGGGGATGGTGCATCGTCTGCCAAGTCTTTTGCTTTCGTAGTGAGTGATTTTCGTGTGCAAGTTCGGGACTAGTCCCTCTAGGATTTTCCAGGTGTATATAATCATGTATCTCTCCCTCCTGCGTTCCAGGGAATACAGGTTTAGAAACCTCAAGCGCTCCCAGTAATTGAGGTGTTTTATCTCCGTTATGCGCGCCGTGAAAGTTCTCTGTACATTTTCTAGGTCGGCAATTTCACCTGCCTTGAAAGGTGCTGTTAGAGTGCAGCAATATTCCAGCCAAAGATAGAACAAGTGACCTGAAGATGTCATCATGGGCTTGGCCCCCCAAGTTTTAAAAGGTTCTCATTATCCTTTCCTGTCATTTTTCTAGCAGATGCGATTGATACAATGTTATGGTCCTTGAAGGTGGATCCTCCGACATAATCACTCCCAGGTCTTTGACTTTGGTGTTTCGCTCTATTTTTGTGGCCAGAATTGTTTTGTACTCTGATGAAGATTTAATTTCCTCATGTTTACCATATCTAGAAATTTGAAATTTCTCATCGTTGAACTTCATATTGTTTTCTGCAGCCCCACTGAAAGATTTGGTTGATGTCCCCCTGGAGCCTTGCAGTGTGTGCAATGGAAGACACTGTCATGCAGATTGGGGTGTCATCTCCCAAAGGAGACACGGTGCTGTGGCTGACACCCTTTGTCTATGTCGGATATGAGGATGAGGAACAAGATGGGAGCTATACTGTGCCTTGGGGAACAGAGCTTTTCACCGTAGCTGCCTCGGACTTTCTCTGTTGACGACTACTCTCTGTGTTCTGTTAGTGAGAAATTATAGATCCATCGACCGACTTTTCCTTTTAAATTCCTTTTTAGCGCGCATTTTGGCGCTATTACGCCATGGTCACACTTGTCGAAGGCTTTTGCAAAGTCTGTATATATTACATCTGCATTCTTTTTGTCTTCTAGTGCATTTAGGACCTTGTCGTAGTGATCCAGTAGTTGAGACAGACAGGAGCGACCTGTTCAAAACCCATGTTGCCCTGGGTTGTGTAACTGATGGGTTTCTAGATGGGTGGTGATCTTGCTTTTAGGACCCTTCAAAGATTTTTATGATATGGGATGTTAGTGCTATTGGCCCTGTAGTTCTTTGCTGTTGCTTTACTGCCCCCTTTGTGGAGTGGGGCTAAGTCTGTTGTTTTTAGAAAACTGAGGGACGACCCCCGTTCCATGCTCCCTCTCCATAGGATGGAAAAGGCTCGTGATAGGGGCTTCTTTCAGTTCTTGATGAACACAGAGTTCCATGAGTCTGGCCCTGGGCAGAGTGCATGGGCATGTCATTTATCGCCTGTTCGAAGTCATTGGCGTCAGGATAACATCGGATAGGTTGTGTTAATCAAATTTTTTTGGCTCTCTCATAAAAAATTCATTTTGATCTTCGACTCTCAGTCTGGTTAGCGGCTTGCTAAAAACTGAGTCAATTGGGGGCTTGAGTAGCTCACTCATTTCCTTGCTGTCATCTGTGTAGGACCCCTCTTTTTTAGTAGGGGCCCAATACTGGGCGTTGTTCTCGATTTGATTTGGCATAGGAGAAGAAATACTTTGGGTTTCTTTCGATTTCATTTATACTTTTAGTTCTTCCCGTGATTTCCCGACTCCTAAAGGGTTCTTTTAGCTTAAGTTCGATGCTGCATTTCTCTGACCGTGTCTCCCTGCGCATTTCAGATATATTGACCTCTTTTAGCCGCTCTGTTATTCTTTTCCGTCGCCTGTAAAGGGAGCGCCTGTCCCCTTTCTATTTTACATCTACTCCTCCTTTTTTTTAGAGGAAAAGCCTTGTGCATACATCGAGTGCCACCCGAGTTAATTGTTCTAGGCATAAGTTTGGGTCTGTGTTGCTTAGTATATCTTCCCAGCTTATATCGGTTAGGACTTGGTTTACTTGGTCCCACTTTATGGTTTTGTTATGAAGTTGAATTTGGGGAATGCTCCCTCGTGACTAGTCTCATTTTGTCGGTCTGGGGGTCCTCGCATACTGTCGAACCTCAATTATGTTGTGATCTGAGTATATTGTTTTGTAGGGTGCATTTTTTCGAATCTTGTTGTAAATAGGGGGTTTCTGTGTTTCTCCGTCTAGTGGCCCTTTATTATTTTGGGTTTAAATTGAATTTTGTGCGAGATTTAAAGCTGTGTGAGTGTGAGTTTTCATCAGAGCGCCCCCGGTGTTTTACTGCAACATATTTTTTGCTTTTTCCCCTCCATTTTAGGTGCCTTAAGTTGAAATCCCCCAGGAGCAAGATGTTGGGTGAGGAGGGAAATTTTCCGGACAGGGTCTTTTTTTTAACAGCTGTTCCGGGAATTGCTGGGATGTTGCATCCGGGGGTTGAGATACCACAATGATGGGTTTTTGGTTTCGACCTTTTTTGCTAAAATTTCCCATACGTCTTTGAGGCATTAAGAAATTCTGTGAAAAAAGTGACTCTGCAATGTACAGCCCCCCCCCCCTTTTCCCTTTTTTCACTTGTCCATCTGTATAGGTTGTAACTGGTCCATATTTTATTGTCCCGTGATCTTTATGTGGGTTCAGTGAAAGGCCCCAACTGCCTTTGCCTTTGAAGCAGTCCACGGATGAAGGTTTTTGTTGTTTGTGTGGCTTTAGCCCTGTATATTTTCAAAAAAGATGTTATCGGATGGTGGTATTGTTTGGTACTGGGGGGGGATTTTTTTTTCCGGGATTGTATCTGTATCTGTTGGTTTGGAGTGGAGGCCCTCGCTGTGGTTTCCCCTCCGGAAGATGGATTTGGTGTACGTTTCTGCCATTTCCTGCCAGTTTTTTTTTCCCTTTCCCGGCACTAAAAAACCCTCCCTCTTAGTGGGGTGTGGCTACCCAGGTTTTTTCCCTGGCCTGGATGTTTTGTTTTTTTTGTCCCCTTTTTGATGGTATGCCTGGCAATTTTAAGTTATAGCACAGTCTTTCCCGTACTGAAGAGGTACTCATTTCAGGGTGAAAAAGCTTACAGGAAGGGAGTTTGCATTTTCCTGTTGTCATATTGGGCATGGCTTTTCTAGGGTGGTCATAGTTGCACGTCCCATCTGTTTTTCCAGATTTCCATGCCAGCAGAAAACCAAGTGCATAGTATGTGCACAGGCTTGGTTTCCGCTTGCCTTGGGTTTCTGTGACTGTATTCCCTGTTGGTGCATGTTTCCCTGTCTTACTTCTATCCTCCCTAGCACCAACAATGGAGCTCCCACCAATTTTTTTTGGTAATTTATCCTCACTATTGCTATTGGAGTCCTCTTGTTTGCTATTTCCTGCGGTATTTCTAGTTTGCAATATTGGTTTTTTTTATCTTTGACTACACTTGTTTCCCTACTATGGCTCCTGTCCCCTATGAGGTCATTTATATGTATTCCTTCCTGCGTATAATTCCCGACTACCTGGACAAAATCTCCAGCTTCACCATTACTGTCTCCAGGACAGTATCTCCAGCTTCACCATTTCTGTCTCCCAGGGACAGCACCTCCAGCTTCCACCATTACTGTCTCCCAGGACAGCACCTCCAGCTTTACTATTACTGTCTCCCAGGACATCACCTCCAGCCTTACAGTTTGTGACTACATGGCCAGTATCAAGGGCAGTACCATTCAGCCCAGACTTTTTATGTTCCCATCTGTTGTAGAAAGCTTCCAGGTTTTCTATGAAAGCAGCTTTGATGTTGTCCTCTTTTAATACCCTTGTGATTTTAGTCCACAGATTTTCCTCATTTGGGCATACCCAGAAACACTTCCCTGTTTTAATACTGGGCAGAACTTTTATTCTTTCTATTGTCACATCCTTCTAAAGAATGCACTGAAATAAATATAGAACACGATACCTCTGCACTAGGCAGACCTCATAGAAGAGGTGCCTTGATGTAAGCAGGGACCTCTTGATCCAGGGAACAAGACTTATCCCCTTCTTCCTTGGATCAAACCTGAATGCCTCGTCTTTCCCAAGTGCTATATGATCCACATGGGTTTAGCAATTCCCCCCTGAATAAAATAAAAAATGGCACTAGGCAGACAAAGACTTACTAAGAGATACAAGGGTGATCCCCCTGTATGATATAATACCAGCAACATACTGGGCTATGTGCAGGTCATCATCATCATGGTTCAGCTTCACGTCATTAAGCACCATCTTCGTCTCCTCCAGCAAGCCTTTGAAAGTGTCACTAAAGAACAAAACAATTTATAAATGTTAAAACATTATATTTTTCAATGCATGTTTTATTTTTTAATTTAATATAAGTGTGCTGCTACCTCTATAGTTACAAAGTGAGAACAAAAGGTAACTATGCTTTCCAGTCATATTCAATCACTGAACCTTCAAGGAGGGTAACTGCATGCCAGTGAAGAGCTCTTGATACAAGGATTTTTCAACTACCCTCCACTTCCTCAACTCAAACCTGATTATATCTCCTTCCCCAGGTACTGTATGACCCCTATGGGTTTAATGCTTCCCCAGATGATGAAAATAAAGTTAAGAAAGAGAATTAATAGTTCAATGGGCAATGTATGAAAGCAAGGGAAAGTGTGAGAAATTAGCTACAAATAGCTTTCAAATATATAGGTGGAGAGATACTAATGAAAAAGAAAGCTATATACAGTGTATATTAGGGCAAAATTTGAATGTTTTTAAAGGCGCATTGTCCACCTATAAAAAAAAATGTCTCAGACTGAAAAAAGCCTAAAGAGTAGCTACTCAATGCATCCTGAAGATACAAAATATGAGTTATGAAGAAAGATTGAGAACACTAAAGATGCCCACATGACATACACTCTTATTATTGTGCCTACTACACATGCAGAACATTAAACTCCACTGTAAACCCTCCCCTAAAACTACTCCTTGACAGTTACAACAGAATGCACAGCCACAATACAAAGCACAAGGCATTTTCAACATCCCTTGAGTCAGTCTCTCACTATGCAAGAACACGCACATAAAGGGCCTGAAGATCTAGAGCTCGCTGCTGGAACAGGTCAAGGATCCCTTGACAGCTTATAAATTTAGGACTTTCCTAAAAAAACATCTTATCTCACAGTATTAACCAAATCAACCAGAACATCTGCTTACTAGTTTTATTATGTGGTCTCCAGGCTTTTAATTCTGCCAATCCATAAAATATTACCACCTGCACCATTACTTGTAAGGTAGATTTTGTGTGCAATTTCAAGATTATTTTACCGAAGCCTACCCCTCCTTACTACCTCTCACTTGTATTAAGTTTAAATAAGATTGTAAAACAGTTAACCACTACTTCTTGTCTAGTTTTAAGTATAGTTACCATGTGCTATTATCTTATCTAGTTTAAATTAGTTATTATGTATTAGGATTAGTTTGCCCAAAATGCCTCGGCATGATAGTGGCTATCTTTGTACTTTGCAAATCAAAACTGTAATTACACATTATAACCTTTACAAAGAAATAAACTTTACTTTACTTTACTTAACTGCATCCTGGAGGGTGATAGTATACCTTATTACTCAGGTTTGAAATAAGCTGAGGCAGAAACAATGTAAAAAAATTATCAAATGAAAAGCCATTGAAATACAAAATTATTCTATGAAACCACAGTAAGAAGTCCATCCCACAACAACTGTTCCCAAGAAATTACCTCTCAATACGTGAAACACTTGTTGTAGTGATGGCCCCATGGGTGTGAAGGTTCCCAATTTTGCCGCCACACATGAGTCCTTTCTTCGTCAGTGTTAACAGTATCTCCCGATACAAGTCACCTAAATATTTTCCTGCAAAGTATTTCTCAAACCTGTTGAAGAAACAACAACAATAAACACAAAGCTAATTATAAATAGGTAAGATCTCTTTATCTGTACAGTATTCCTTTCAAGGGATGGGTGTGCCTTTGATGTTAGCAAAAGGCTCTTAATCTGAAGAAATGGAGCTCTCCTCCCATCCTCAGATCAAACATAACTAACAAAAAAAAGGCACAATACCGTGACTGGAACGATACACAAATAACCCACACATAAAAGAGAGGAGCTTACGATGACATTTCAGTCAAACTTGGACCATTTACAAAGTCACACTAAGTGTGACTTTGTAAATGGTCCAAGTTTGACCGAAACGTTGTTGTAAGCTCCTCTCTTTTATGTGCGGGTTATTTGTGTATCAAACATAATTATTTTCCATTCTTCAGGTGTTGTATAATTCTTTAGACTTAGCATTTCACCATAAATATAATAATTTTCAGCAGAAGTGATGATACTTAAAACTCTCAAACTGAAATATTGTAATATGTATACTAAACTATAAATGGTAATTTCTGAAAGTTAGATGCTACTGAGGCTCATGCAACTTACTAGAAACTGTGAAAGCAATGAAAATATGTTGCCTGTTTCATGAGATCTTTTACTAAATGGTATTATATAATGCTCATCTGGAACATGGTTCATCAAGAAAAATTCAAATGAAAGCAAAACCTGTGGCAAGTAATAACAGGTGAGAAAGAAGATTAAAATTTTGGGGACAAAAAAAAAAAAAAATTGTGGAGCGGGAGCCTCTTCCAAGCTTCATATCAAGGTCAAATTTGACTAAAACTTCAATACAGCTAAATAAATACAATACTTAAAACTATTTTTGTAACCTGTATTATGACCATGACATATGTAGAGCATAAAAAATGCTTTGAATATCAAAAACAATATTTCTTACTTCACATTTTTCTTTACATAAACCATACTTTTTATTTATTATAAGCCTTATGGTTTTCAAAAGGAGAAGAGGGTAAGGCCTTCATGCCAGTGAATGGCTCTTAATCAAAGAAATTTGAGCTACCCTTTCCTTTTTTTAATGAAACCAGATGACCTTGCATTTCACATGCACTGCATGACCCCTGCAGGTTCAGCACTTCCCCATTAATGTAATAATGGAAGCCTTACGTGTAAGAGTGGACAAGTAGCGACTGGTCATCAACAGCTCTGTCCCAGTCAGTTTTGATGAAGTCAAGAACACCATTATCTCCAAATGCACCCCATTCAATGTCCACAATCATCTGTAAAAACAGATGGTATATGGCTTATCGGTACCAATATCTGCACCCTTATTCCTTTTCTCCAAATTAACACATGATGTCAAGTTATGATCAAAATGAGACACTTTCAAGCAGAATGGAAACATTATATATGGTAACATTTTGTTTGATTTACAAGCTCTTTTGTCTTTCAACTTGAAAATCAAGCAGAATGTTAATTATAGAGATTTCATACTACATTAAAATGTTTCACTTCATTCCACCTTATCAGTATTCATACACCCTTCCACCTACAAAATATTATGATCAAATCAGGAACAATAGCTGTTGTAATATTTACAGAGTACTTTGACCATGTAGGTCACTCAGTGCTCCAACAAATAAAAAATGAAATGATATACAGTGCACACAAAACAAAAGCAAAGATAACAGTAAGAAACCATAAAAGTTAGACACAAACAAAATGTATTACACAAAAATACTAACATATCAAGTTAAAATAAGAAGCATCAGTTAAAAATGCATATTATACATTACAAATAAAAAGAAAACTTTATAATCTATTTACCAGAACATACTACATAATCCATTACCTTAATTAAAACATATATAAACAAATATAAATACACTCCTGATTTTAAAATAATCAAAATTTAAGGGAGAGGCTACAAAAGATTTGGAGATTTTTCACACCTCCTCTGCAGCACACACATGAACAACCATGGTCAAAAATTTCATTACACACATCAAAACTGAATCAAACCACAACATACGTATTCACACAAAATACAAAACAGTTAATCTGCATCATAAATGAATACCAACAGAATATGTATTCTTAAGCTCTGTTAAAGAAAAAGCATTTCTTTTCCTTGCCATTGCTATATCACTTCGTAATATATTTGTGAAGTTCACTTGTAGTTGTATCTGTATTATCATCCTCAGATTTTAAGTGGGCAGTCTAAAGTTAAAACTGGTGCATTTGCCAACTCATCAGTCCCATTAAACTTTTGATAGCTAATGCACACAGAAACTACAGAAGGTAGAGTGTGACTGCTGGTACGGTGTACGTAATTTTGCCATATTCACCAACAACCCACATTTAGGAGAGGAACCTCATGACAATGAGACTATGTACTGTGTACTGTGCCAAAACAAAAGCATTCACATTGCTAAACTCACAAACTAGTATTTAGTCACTTAGCCATAATACCAACTTACCTCATAATTTGTAATATTTTAAAATAAAGAATTAAACTAAGTCTGCCCGAAATGCCTAGCCATGCTAGGCGTTCTAGTGGTACACTCTGTAATCATTATTTAACTACATGTAAACCACACAATAACCAAATTCTGTAAATTCAACATTGTAATCCTTATAGAGAATAAACTTTGAATCCTGGCCCAAAACTGTCAAGTCAGAACTCAGCAATGGTCCAGAATGAATGAAAACATCATCTAAGGTTCTCTCAAAGGTGTGGGTTTTTGGTGAATTGTTCCAGCCATGGTGCTGTGACTTTTTATTCTCTAATTTTCTCATATCAATGCCCAACTTTTAACACAAGTACTGTACAAGTGTCTCTGGCTTCATGCAGTACAGTACTATATGCATTTCAGGCCCAGTATAAAATAGAGAGATATCTACATGTTAAAAATATACTTCATAGAGTTAATAGCAAAGACAGTGACTGTGTGTGAATGATGGTGAAAGTGTTGCATGATAGTGAGTGTTTCTTTTTTGGGTCACCCTGCTTCAGTGGGAGACAGCCAGTGTGTTGAAAAAAATTAAGTGTTGTGCATGCAATAACAAAAACTAATCTTTCTGAATGTAACTTCATTATGTACATGTGCATATAAACATATGCATAACAAAAATAACAGAAATTTCCATAGTCATGCAAACATATTTACATCACATTTTTCAGGCTTGTTTGCTAGTGTTCAGTATCGCTCTCCTGTACCAGTGTCCAGCAGTAGTCAGCCATCAAACTGATCATCAAGTTTTCCTAACTATGGCTTGGTGAAATCACTCACCATGAAGTCCTATTTCCCAGAAATTGTATGTATTGGAGCAAAACTAAGTTCAGATTTGAATTCAGTCCCAAAATTACCACAGTTAGGAACACACATTTTTAAGTGTCAACCAAAACCTTTGGTGACCAGAATTATAATGGTTAAATTCCTAGATGGGAACCAGTGTTTTGTTAATTTAAAATGACGAACACGAAAAGAAATAATAAAATATATTCATGGAAAAAAATCTGTCACTAACCTCAGATTCAAGGTGCTTTCCAAGCCATTTCTCAATACGTTCAACCTTTTCTATATAGCAACCATTGCATCCTGTTCCTAGGATCATCGCCAGAGCGCAGCGTTTGTCCATGTATGCGCCCATTACCAAAGTTCCTGTCAGTTGAAACATGTACCATATTTGTAATTACAAATACTACTATACATACTGTATATACACTTGAACATAATTACAGTTAAAATTATATTATGTACAGGTAATTTAATAAGTTTTCAATTAGAAACACACACCTCTATTGTGCAACATAATGACTCAGTAGCCAGCAGTCTATCACAATTGAGACAGCCTCAAGAATTAAGTGAAAATATTATTTATGTCACTATAAAATTTAAAATCAAATAGGCAGAGTACCACACATGCTCACCAGTAGTATCATTGAGGATGGCTTTGACTGTAATATCCAAATCTTTTCTTTTATGTATGGCATCATTGAGCATCTTAACTGCATCCTCACCAACAACTCCAGGGCAATTGAATGACTTGGTCCATGAAACTAAGATCCCAACATCAAGGCTCTTTTGTGTCATTGGAAAAGAGAAGGTAAACCCTGAGAAGAACATATCTGATATCAATACACACAAAGCAAATAGTTTAGTATACAGTATTTAAAATTTTGGATCACCAAAAAATTTGACTCATTCTCCCCAAAAAGAAAACAGTGAAATATAGTCAAGCCAATTTTTTTATTTGGCATAAAACTAACAAAGCATCCCTAGGCACATCAGTGTCTAGGGAACAGGAGATAATTAGGTTTGATCCCAAGAAGGATAGGAGAATAGCTACATCCTTAGCTCAAGAACCTTCCACCAGCATCAAGGCACTTTTCTTAAAGTGATCCTAACTTAATCTTGCTAAAATTTATGCAGCATTAAATAACTTAATTTATGTAACCAATGAAACGGAGCATCTGCAATAAAAAACAAACATTCAGTGTTATAATTTCAACAAAAAATCAGTTTACCACAGAAAATAACCTTAAAAATCAGAAATGCAATAATGAAATCTTTCAAGACTGTGACATTTACACAGTGTTTATTAATATAGTTTATCTAACAAAGTGAATACAAAATTCATACTAAAGTACATGTAGTTCTTTTTGCCCGAAATGCCTAGGCATGCCAGAGGTCTTCCTTGTAATTAATATTTTATAATATGTAAACCACACATTGTAAGTTTTGCCAGGAAATAAACATTTCCATTTTCATTTCACCTGAAAATAATAGTGATATATGGATTTTTTTTTATATTTTGTTAAGTTATCCAAGCTTAAATTTACATGATTTACCACTGTATATATAAATTAAATTTTTAAAATTATGCACGAGTCCTCAATAAAAACTTATTTATTATTTATTTCCCAAAAATTACAAATTATTTCTGCCTTACCTAATTGAAAATTTCGACCTCCTAGATTCCTCTTTTGAACAAATTCAGCAATACAGTCAGCCAGAAATTCGAACAAATCCTGACCAGGCCCAAGACGCTTTTCAGAAGGAACATGGAAGTAGTCAACAACCTAGGTAGAAATATTATTTTTAAATATATAGCAGTACAGTACATATGAAGCAATACTTGCATGAGATGAGATTTTAATACATATTTGAAGAAACCATCCCAGGGGGGACTCTTGAACCTGCGGTAGAGAGTCGTAAAACTCCAGACCGTGGGTTGAAGCCCCTCCTGTGGTATGGTTTGTTTGCAATCACATCATTACGATATCGTGAGTCACATCTAAACTTTATGATTACTGCTCTGAAAATGTCATGGTAATGAATTTTTCAAAATGAAGGAAGCTTAAAGAATTAATTAACTAACCTCCTCTGAAAATCTTCCGTTTTTCATGCGAACATATATTACCCGAAAATGGGTTCCACCTAGATCCAGAGCCAGGTATTCTCCATTCTCTGTAGGATAAATTTCAGTTCAGTTTCTTTACATTTTGTACAAAAATCTGTGATCTCAAATTACTGAGTAATTTCAGATGATCAATATCTTCATTACTTGTTTGTATGCTGATCCTATTCCTTTTATTACAGGAGAAGTGGTTGTCTACTGATCATACTAATTACCCAGAAATTCTATAAAATATACACATAACTATTCATCCATTAAATTAAACCTCTCATGGGTCAATGCACCTAAATTATTATATTCACAGAGAAGTGCAAACTCATTATACTATTTAGGAGGGAAATGCTAAACCCTTAGGTGTTATGCAGCACCTGAGGAATGTAAGCCAATGAAATTCGATCCAAGGAAAGGGAGGGCAACTCCAATTCCTTGGATCAAGAGCTCTCACCGGCATCAAGAAAATTCCTGTGAGGGCTAAACTCATAAGGATTGAACAATGCCTGGAAATGGGAAGAAATTAAGAATGATACCTGGAGTTATATGAAGAGAGTTACGGGGGTCAACACCCCCGTAGCCCGGTCTGTGACCAGGCCTCATGGTGGATCAGAGCTTGATCAACCAGGCTGTTACTGCTGGATGCACGCAATCCAACGTACAAGCCACAGCCCGGCTGGTCAGGTACCAACTTTAGGTGCTTGTCCAATGCCTGCTTGAAGACAGCAAGGGGTCTATTGGTAATCCCCCTTATGCATGCTAGGAGGCAGTTGAACAGTCTTGGGCCCCTGACACTTATTGTGTTGTCTCTTAACGTGCTAGTGACACCCCTGCTTTTCATTGGGGGGATGTTGCATCATCTGCCGAGTCTTTTGCTTTCGTAGTGAGTGATTTTTGTGTGCAAGTTCGGTACTAGTCCCTCTAGGGTTTTCTAGGTGCATATAATCATGTCTCTCTCCCACCTGTGTTCCAGGGAATACAGGTTCAGGAACTTCAAGCGCTCCCAGTAATTGAGGTATTTTATCTCCGTTATGTGCGCCGTGAAGGTTCTCTGTACATTTTCTAGGTCAGCAATTTCACCTGCCTTGAAAGGTGCTGTTAGTGTGCAGCAATATTCCAGCCCAGATAGAACAAGCGACTTGAAGAGTGTCGTCATGGGCTTGGCATCCCTAGTTTTGAAGGTTCTCATTATCCATTCTATCATTTTTCTAGCAGATGTGATTGATACAATGTTATGGTCCTTGAAGGTGAGATCCTCCGACATGATCACTCCCAGGTCTTTGACGTTAGTTTTTCACTCTATTTTGTGTCTGGAATTTGTTTTACACTCTGATGAAGTTTTAATTTCCTCATGTTTACCATATCGGAGTAATTGAAATTTCTCATCGTTGAACTTCATATTTTTTCTGCAGCCCAGTAAAAGATATGGTTGATGTCTGCCTGAAGCCTTGCAGTGTGTGCAATGGAAGACACTGTCATGCATATTCGGGTGTCATCTGCAAAGGAAGGCATGGTGCTGTGGCTGACATCCTTGTCTATGTCAGATATGAGGATGAGAAACAAGATGGGAGCGAGTACTGTGCCTTGCGGAACAGAGCTTTTCACAGTAGCCGCCTCAGACTTTACTCTGTTGACTACTACTCTGTGTTCTGTTTGTGAGGAAATTATAGATCCATCTACCAACTTTTCCTGTTATTCCTTTAGCATGCATTTTGTGCGCTATTATGCCATGGTCACATTTGTCGAAGGCTTTTTGCACAGTCTGTGTATATTACATCTGCATTCTTTTTGTCTTCTAGTGCATCTAGGGCCTTGTCATAGTGATCCAGTAGCTGCTCTAAACCCATGTTGCCCTGGGTTGTGTAACTGATGGGTATCTAGATGGGTGGCGATATTGCTTCTTAGGACCCTTTCAAAGATTTTTATGATATGAGATGTAAGTGCTATCAGTCTGTAGTTCTTTGCTATTGCGTTACTGCCCCCTTTGTGGAGTGGGGTTATGTCTGTTGTTTTTAGTAACTGTGGGATGACCTCAGTGTCCATGCTCCCTCTCCATAGGATGTTAAAAGCACGTGATAGGAGCTTCTTGCAGTTCTTGACGAACACGGAGTTCCAGGAGTCTGGCCCTGGGGCAGAGTGCATGGGCATGTCATTTATCGCCAGTTTGAAGTCATTTGGCGTCAGGATAACATCAGGTAGGCTTGTGTTTACCAAATTCTGTGGCTCTCTCATAAAAAAATCATTTAGATCTTCGACTCTCAGTCTGGTTAGCAGCTTGCTAAAAACTGAGTCATATTGGGACTTTAGTAGCTCACTCATTTCCTTGCTGTCATCTGTGTAGGACCCATCTTGTTTAAGTAGGGGCCCAATACTGAATGTTGTTCTCAATTTTGATTTGGCATAATGAAAGAAATACTTTGGGTTTCTTTCGATTTCATTTATGACATTTAGTTCTTCCCACGATTCCTGACTCCTATAAGTTTCCTTTAGCTTTAGTTCGATGTTTGCTATTTCTCTGACCAGTGTCTCCCTACGCATTTCAGATATATTGGCTTCTTTTAGCCGCTCTGTTATTCTTTTCCGTCGCCTGTAAAGGGAGCGCCTGTCTCTTTCTATTTTACATCTACTCCTCCTTTTTCTTTAAAGGAATATGCCTTGAGCATACATTGAGTGCCACAGAGTTAATTTGTTCTAGGCATAAGTTGGGGTCTGTGTTGCTTAGTCTATCTTCCCAGCTTATATCGTTTAGGACTTGGTTTACTTGGTCCCACTTTATGTTCTTGTTATTGAAGTTGAATTTGGTGAAGGCTCCCTTATGACTGATCTCATTTGGTCGGTCTGGGGCTCCGCCTATACATGTCTGAACCTCGATTATGTTGTGATCCGAGTATATTGTTTTTGATATGGTGACATTTCGTATCAGATCATCATTGTTAGTGAAGATGAGGTCCAGTGTATTCTCCAGTCTAGTAGGCTCCATTATTTGCTGGTTTAAGTTGAATTTAGTGTGTATGAGTTCTCGTCTGAGCTGCCTCCTGGTGTTATCACTGCAACAACATTATTTGCTATATTCCTCCATTTTAGGTGCCTCAAATTGAAATCCCCCAGGAACAAGATGTTGGGGGCAGGAGCTGGAAGATTTCCCAGACAGTGGTCAATTTTCAACAACTGTTCCTGGAATTGTTGGGACGTTGCATCCGGAGGCTTGAAGACTGCCACAATGATATAAAGGACGAAAAAGTTATCTCCGGTTTCTTGGATCAAGAGCCCTTCACTAATACAGAATCAAGGCACCTCTTATTCGAAGAGTAATAAAACAAATAGTTTTCTTGCAATATTGCATCCTCATGCCATGACTGCCACAATATTATCATTCTCTCTCGTAACAAGGACAAAGATTTTACTGTTAGATATAAAGTTGCCAGATAAGAGCCACTACACGCTTATCTGATAAAAATTGCCACGTGGAGAATTACTGAGTTGTGTGTACATAATATACAGAAATGTCACACGGTAAATAAGTCACTTTCTCTCTAACCGTATTTGTATATATCTGAATAAACTTACTAAGTTACCCTAGGTGAGGAGGACAAAACTTACTTTTTATACAGCCACCGTGGCCTGGTAGTCAAAGCTCTCCCTTCACACGGTGTTCAGGGTTCCATCCCGGCAAGGGCAGAAGAAACATTGGGCGTTTCCTTACACTTTCCCCGTTCACCTAGCAAGTATGTACCTGGTGTGGGTGGCATCCTGGGGGACAAGATGGAGGACCCCAATGGAAATAAGACAGACAGTCCCTAGATGACGCACCGACTTTCTTGGGTTATCCTGGGGTGGCTAACCCCTCAGGGGTTAAAAAATCCAAACAAAATCTTCTTACCAGCATCAGTGAACTTCCCTGAGTTATACTACAAATTACACCACAGAATAGGCGGTAAAGAACATAAGAATGGAGAAACACTGCAGAAGGCCTACTGGCCCATACAAGGCAGGTCCTTATTAAAACCACCCCTACCCTAGAATTTACTCCCATACCCACGACACCAATCAAACCCAGCCCCTTCCACTCTTATATTCGTCCACTCTCTTGTTAAAGCTACCCAAGGTCCTAGCTTCGATCACCCTACTCGGAAGATTGTTCCACGCATCCACAACTCTGTTCGAAACACAACTCTGTCCAGTCCACCTCCAAGAGGTTTTTTTTTGTGGAATGAAACGTTTTAAAATCAAGGTTTCCCCTTAAACCCCTCGAGGGACATTCCTTGATGCCGGTGAGAGGCTCTAGATCCAAGACTTGGAGATAACCTCAGCTTCTTTGAATCAAATCTGAGTGCATCCCTTTTCCCGGGGTGTTGTATGACCTCTATATATATATTTAATTTTAACCACAAGGAAACGCTAAACTCGTTGGGGTCATGCAGCACCTGGGTGGCATTCATGTTCAATCCAAGGAACTGGAGGATCAAGAGCCACTCACCACCACTTGGATCAAGAGCCCCTCATCAGCTCTTGGAGCAAGAGCACCTCACCAGTTCCTGGATCAAGAACCCCTCACCAGCTCTTGGATCAAGAGCCCCTCACAGCATCAAAGTCTCGAAGTGTCCCGTGACCTGGTAGGCAATGCTCTCGAGTCACACACTGAGTGTCCGTGATTCGATCCCGGCAAGGGTAGAAATATTGGGCATGTTTCCTTACACATTCTAGGGGTTAATATTGAAAGACCCCGATGGAAATAAAACTGATAGTCCTTGACAACACACTGACTTTCTTGGGTTATTTTGGGTAGCTAACCCTCCGGAGTTAAAAATCCGAACAAAATCTTATCTTAGGAGCTACCCCTAGACAATCCAACGATCCTCAACTCTTCATTATATAACTGAATTAAATTTTTAATTGATGCTGGTTATTTTAACGTGGTATGAAATTTCTTAATTGCGCTGGGTGTTTATGTTTGTTGCTTTTATTAATAATTTTATCCTGGTTTTTATTTTCGTATATATAATTTTGTATGGGTATGAGCGCTTTGTGACTAACATGGTCAAAATGTTCTGTAAATATTACAACTGGTATTACTCTTCCTTATCTTTCAATTACCACTTGTTTGCTTAGGTTCGTTTATCATGGAACAAGTAAT